CCTCCCCTAGGCCCAGCATGAGGGGAGCCCGGCCTGTGTCGACTAATGCCGACTCGCTAATGTGTGTCAGCCGGTGCTGGGCCTTGATGGAGGGGGAGGGGCAATCAGAGAGCCTTCCCCCTAAGTGACGCCGCCTGGATGAAGGTAATTAAGGAGGATGCGCATTCCATAAGTGACCGGAAATAACAAAAAAAAAAAAAAAAAAAAAAAAAAATGATTTTAGAAATAATTTGTACATTGAGAGAAATTTCTAGCATTTGATTCCTTGGGAAAAGGTTTTATGTACAGTGATTAATCCCAGACGGACTAGTCACGCACAGACACACAAAAAAGATATGCACACGCGCACGCGTGCTCATACATATATATATATATATATATATATATATATATATATATATATATATATATATATATATATATATATATATATATATATATATAGTGTGTGTGTGTGTGTGTGTGTGGATTGGTGGGTGAAGTACGTTTGACAGAATGGTTAAGCGTGCTCGAATAAAGAGGGAGGACGCGTAATTGAGCACACCTCACACATACGAAATCTCGACATTATATTCATTTGTAATCAGAATGCTTAACTATCACTCCGTTCTTACTTTCCTTTTATTCTATTCTCCTATTAACTATTATATCTTTCGAGTGCGAGGGAACCGCAACAGAAGAAAGCCGAAGTTAGAATCACTAACTTCACTCAACACGAGGTGAAGCATGAACGCAATCACAGAAAACGGGGATCGGCTCACAGAGGGGGGATAACTATAATTTTCCTACTACATCTGTTTGGAGCAGGGAAATCAATGCTTTTTTTGCATTATAATTCATCGAAAACATTACCAGATCCTCCAGATTTCTTCATGGATTCAGACAAATCCAGTAGTGCTGCCCGTGTAGATGGTGTTGTCATTCTGTTCCTCAGTTTACTTTTAATTAATCCTGTTTTAGAAAAGAGCCTTTGTATTCGGCGCTCAATGCCGGAACGCAAGAACCCCAAGAGCAAAATATGGCATAATTCTAAAGATTAGAACATTTAAAGATTGACAAACTCAGTGTTGTTGGTGTTTGTGAGACTAGGAGGAATATCAATATCAGGTAAACGTCTCCATTCTCTTTCGAGTGAGTCTAGATCAATCTGAAATATTCTTGGAAAGTAGCTTGCAAGAACTGCAAAGGAAGGGGTTTCCATCAAG